GTCAGTAAATCATTTTTCATGCAGGGGAACTTATGTTCAATCCAATTGCTTTGCTATGAGCAGTAGTCCTGCTAAATTTTTTCTAAAGGAAATATTTTATTAAATCAAATTCCTTCAGAGTAGGAAATTTGAATGAAAAGCACGAATTATATTGGTAGCCTATACTGTGGTCTAGCTCACCAGAGCTTGGAGCAAGGTTCCTAAATCTCGAGTATAGCTGAAGCATGAAGAGAAAATAACTAGTTAAAATGAAATAGGAGTAGTTACATGTCTCACTTGACGTCTTTCATGCGTGGCAGTAAATAGTTGGATAAAAAAACTGATTGTATTTTAAATTGTCCAATGATGGAATGCTACGTGGCATTATGTCGATCTTGACGTTAGTGTAGCATGATTGCAATGAAATTTATTTGGTTTGAAAATTGACATGGAGACCCATCAGGCACCAGATCAATTCAATTGACATCTTTCATCTCCTATTGAAAGTTTTATTTTAGGTTTCTTTGCCATGGAGCTTTTGATTAATCCTAATTCCTATGTGGACAATTTTAAAGGATTTTGCACATTGATCTGTATATGCTTCAGAAGCTTTGAGTTAAATTTTCTTTTCGAAAATATAAATAATTTTGGGAGAATTTATGGGTAAGATAAACCTTTTCTTGCATATTGATGCTTCTTTGTTCTTTTTTTCCTGCCATTAACTTTTACTTTTCCTACTTTTCTCACTAATTTTGAGTATTTTCAGTTGAAAATAAAAATACAAACTCGGAATGATGTAATGAAATTATGATGCAAACAATTGAATAAGTTTCGAATGGAGCTAAAGAGTAACTAAAAAGTCGTTCTTACAATAATTAATTTTAACCACACACACATTTATTTTATGGGATTCACAAATTTTCAACTACACACTTCATCAACTAATTTTAATTTCCACTAGACAGCGACTATATTGGTTAACGCTTGTTTACTATAGATTAAAATCTACTAAAAATTTAAGTCAAAATCAATAATTAATTTTAATCATATATTTTATGAAATTCATAATTCTTTAAATCACATATTTTACTAATTTTTATTAAATATTTGGTTTAGATGCATAAATATTTGTCTGAAGTGCTATAGATGGTTAAGTGAGTTCTCAAATGCACTATATGTGCTCTCTATGACACTCCTTTTGTGGTGGAGGTTGCATGAGAGGTCTCAAATGCACTAAAATTTATTAAATATCTGGTTTTGTGATGTGTAATTTAGAACTTTTCCATGTCTTATTGACTTGCATCTGTGTCGATAGGCCTACCAACAGCAGTACAATATGCACTCCACAATCTATATATTATGGGAAGAGTTAATCTACTTCTACAAATTTTGTTTACAAACTAAGTGTTGGCATGATCCAAGATAATATTGATTTCCATTGATTTCAAAAACTGTTTTTGAAATTATCGGTCTAAATGTTACCAATACATAATTTGTAAATCAAGTTTACCAACCTAATTTGTACAAATAACATGATTATTGGGAAATGCTTGTTAAGCTAACAGGTTGTGGTTAAGAGTTCTACTACAGCAACAAGGCTGGGGACAGGGTTATTGACAGGGAGCCATGGTAGCGCCTCACTAGCCCTTGATCTAATTTGTTAAGCTAACAGGTTGTGGTTAAGAGTTCTGCTACAGCAACAAAGCTGGGGACAGGGTTATTGACAAGGAACCGTGGTGGCGCCTCACTAGCCCTTGATCTGAAAATCAGATCAAGGGCTGATGAGGCGCCACCTCGGCTCCCTGTCAGTAACCCTATCCTCAGTCCTGTTCGTTTATCATTCCCGTGTGGTTAAAGGGTCCTTAATGTATCTAACTGAAGTTATACATTGCATATCAATCTGTCAATTATCTGTATGTGTGTGTGTCTGACAATTCATTCCCGATAAGTTTTCCTGGAAAAAGCACGTTTGACATTTAGATTGAACTATGATTTCGGTCGAAGGTCGGCATTATCTGCTTAATTGAATGTCACAAGTTTGTCGAAATCAGAAAACCTCACTTGTACACGTACTGATCAAATGACGTCCAACACTTCTTTTATTTTGGTATGTTAAGATTCATGTTGAAGAGATACCTCTTCAAATCCTTTGCAAATTGCTAGTGCCTAGGACATTGTCATTTTGAGAATAGTTTGCTTGTTACATGCATGTTTCAATTACTTGTTTGAGCCTCTGCATTATGGTGCGTCCTCTATTTGCAGGGCCGATTTGAAGTCATCTCTTTGACAGGTTCCTTCTTGCGATCAGATAACAATGGAAACCTCAGTCGAACAGGTGGTCTGAGAATGTCATTGGCTTGGTAAGATTGTAGAGTCTTAGGTGGGGGAGTTGCTGGAATGCTTAGGGCAGCATCACCCGTACAGGTACTGTTTCAATGTGCTCTCTCTCTCTCTCTCTCTCTCTCTCGTAATTTCAACTAAACCAAAATTTTCTCGTCCAGTTTGTGGTGGGAAGCTTTATGAATTTGCTACATTTGCTGATTCACATCAAGGTACACATAAAAGTTTACATAATGTGACATAGCGCTTTGTCATCTGTCAATTTAAAACACGGTTACTATTTTGGTCCAATCAATTCCCTCCAAATCGTCTTTTGTCATTGCTTTCGGACGCTGCCTTCTGTACAACCGGCATAATTCCAAGCTTTGTTGTTGATGGGAAACCCCCCAAAGTATGGACCACCTTATGCACCACCTCCGAACATGTTGAACTGGTGCTCCAGTGACCGGTGGCAGCCCTTCCCTAGATGCCTCCTGTGACTTGTCTGAGGAGAATAGTGGTAGTGCTTTCAGAACCCCAACAGGCGATTTAGAATATTTAAATGCATTCAAATATGGGTTGGCCAATCTCCTGCATCAAAATGCATCCCAATTAACTAACACTTTCCTTCCCATCTCAAGAGTGGAGGTTTACTTCTTTTCTTCCATAAGCTATTTTGTCGTTTAGTAGGTTAACTTGCTCACTTGAATAATTATGTGGATGATTGATTGTAAATCTTGACGGGTTTTGTTTGACATCTTAGCACGTGTTTTTGTAGATTAAAATTAATTTTTGATAAAAGTTGGTGAAGTATGTAATTGAAAAGTTGTGGGCTTTCATGGAATATATTGTTAAAATTAATTATTGATTTTGACTTTTTTTAATCACTATATACGTTTAGTAGGTTAACTTGCTCACTTGAATAATTATGTGGATGATTGATTGTAAATCTTGACGGGTTTTGTTTGACATCTTAGCACGTGTTTTTGTAGATTAAAATTAATTTTTGATAAAAGTTGGTGAAGTATGTAATTGAAAAGTTGTGGGCTTTCATGGAATATATTGTTAAAATTAATTATTGATTTTGACTTTTTTTAATCACTATATTGACGATAATGATAACTAATTTTAACAAAAATGTGTACTCAAAAAATTCATAATCTATGTGTGTCTCTTCATTGTTCTATTTTTAAATAATTATTTGACAAATTTATATTGTCCAAGTTAACTTCAATCGATATAATGCATAGGGTGATCAGAAATGACTTAGGGAGAATAAGTATCAAGATGTTTAGGCTTCAAATACAGATCAATATATAGAAAAAAACCTAGAATCGAAGTTTCTCAAGTTCTAGCTCCTATAATTGTTTTTCTGAAAAAACCTAGCTTCAAATACAGATCAATGTATAAAAAAAAATTGCAACGAAACTCAAGTATATATTGCCAATGTTTTGAAAAAATGTTTCCTTTTAACATGTTGCAAAATTAAATTTTGTTATATGCAATTGATATTTGGAAAAACATTCCTAAATTTTGCCAACTTCAGTTTTACTTGTTATTGGCCAAAAATTGACAATCTTAAAATACAGTGAACAATTAAAAATATCTTTAAAAGTATAATGAACAATTAAAGACATCTTTCAAAGTATAGTAAGCAGTCAAAGAAGTGTTTCTTACGTGACAATTTGGTGTGCTATGATTGGTCGTATAACAGTGTTTGGGCACCACCTGTGCATTTCGTTTGCCATGTCTTCAATTCCGTTAGATTTATGAAACTGATGTCATGTCAATAAATTACGTCCAACGTTTTGATAAGTTTAGTGATCAAAACTCGACATTTAAAACCTTAGTCAATGGTCGAAGACACATATATATGTTCAATTTTGGGACAATTAACTCCGAGAGGTGTATCGCTGCCTGTATATTTTTCATTTTTTTTGGAAAAGTCAATAATTAGTGAATAAAAAATAGTAAAAGCAAAGCTAGAATTTCAAATTTTAAAGAAGTGTATAATGTATAATGTAATTATCGTAGAAAAACACAATGTTTTCTTAGACCATAGGCCTCAAATATTTTGAGTAGCATAGCCCGAAAATAGCAAAGATAGATGCTCATAATTGGGAGAGATGGAGTTACCGTGGTACGAATTTAGGGAGAGAAATTTGGTAAGTAGACTGATAGAGAGAGAAAAATCAGAAGAAAATGTTGAGCATTCTAGTTTGGAAAATGCAATGTGGCCAGGCTCGGGGACAGGGTGCCGAGGTGCCAACACCTCGACCATTGGATCAAAAAAAAAAAAAACGAAGTTGAAATCGAGGGTTGAGGTGATGCCACCTCAGCCCCCTGTCCTCGAGTCGGTCCCTAAGGTGGGCACTGTAGCATGGCTGTTCTAGTTTTGTGCAAGTAGAAATTGTGATAGCGATAAATATTATATCGTGTATTTTTTCAGCTAATAGTTCTTGTAAATGAAAATAATAAAATCATTCATAGGTGTTTCTAAAATATAGAAATTGTCATGCAATGAGAATTTATTCTTATGTTAACAATTTCTCTGAATTCTATGCCAAAGCTACCTAGTAGAAAATCTAATGCTCTGTAGCAAGTTTCAAGTATATTGAAATTTTGAAAGCAATATGTAACAAACATATTGCATTTTATAGCTAAGCAAGAGATCTCTAATTATCATTCCACTTGGCAACTTCATTACTGATCCAACAGACCATTTCAGTTTTGTACTGAGGTTCCAAATGAGAGAATAACTCTTCTACAAAATAGCCATGAAATTAAACTTGATTTTATTGGGGGAACTCTACCCGGTTCATAAGCAATATATGTATGGTTTAAGCTGCACCTTTTTTCACACCTCCAATGCTATCGAGCTCTTCCAAAACTGCCCAAAGCTTTGGATCTTCGTAATCTTTAATTAGAAAAGTGGGCTTTGCCTCCATCAGCATGGGTGCTGGATTTCCTGTTGTCAAGCCAATAACAGGCATCCCTGCTGCAACCCCGGCTTTTATTCCCGAAACAGAATCCTAGACAACCAAAGTATAAATTTTACCAAGTACGAGCAACAAAATATTGAAGGGTGTGTGGATGGGGTCAAACCTCGAATATAAATGTGTGATCCTTGGAGATGTTGAGAATTTCAAGTGCCTTTAAATAGGCGTCTGGGAATGGTTTAGCATGTTCACAGTCACTTCCAAGAATTACAGTATGGAAGAAATCTGTCAGTCCAAGAGTTGAGATCATAAATTCAGCATTTGGTTTGGGAGCATTAGTAACAGCAGCTCGTTTCAGACCACGGTCTTCCACCCATTTTATCACTTTGTACAAACCATTAACAGGTTTCAACTGCTCCTCAGCCAACCTGTATTTTCCATTCAAAATAATTATTTGTGAAGGTGGGTTAAAATTTCTGGGTGGGAAAAGGTTGCATTAAATGAAGGAGAAAAATAAAATTCACCTTCTGAACATATCTTCCTTCTCTTCACAAAATTTTAAACCCCTTTCAAAATCATCAGGGAAAAGAAAAGAAGCAATCTCATCATTGTGCTTCCCAGCAAAATTCTTGCTGTAGAATTCTTCATCAATTGGGATGCCACCATTGAAGCCAATCTGTTTAGAAGCTCAGCATTTTTAAGACCCCACAGAACAGCAATGAAATGCATTGATTCAAAATTTACCAAATTAATATCAGTTATGTGTTTTCCAGTATTTTCATAATCTACAAGCACTTCACAACAATACAGAAAGTTTCCAATGCATAAATGATATATGATTGGCAGTATAAGTATAAAGGTGAATAGAAAAGAATAGTTCAAACCTTCGGAAGCAGTTCACAGAAAGCATAAAAGTGGATCGGATCTGAATCACACAAAGTTCCATCAACGTCAAATAGCACTGCTTCAAGAGGAGCAAGTTGAGACAGAGAACAAGTGCTGTTTAAGAGAAAAAGGCATCAATAAGTTCTCTTCTTAACTCTTTTCCACCAATAATATAAAAATATTATTCTCTTGAACACAAAAGCATCTAATTCAAAGTTCAAGCATCCTCTCTACAAAATCTTGTGAACAGAGTAGTGAACTTCAAACTTGTTTATACAACAATAATTCGCGAAATTGAATTGAAAATATTCTACTAATCACTTCCTGTGGTTCACAAAAATGCATCAAAGTTTCTCCTCACACCTAGCATCTGTTCGGAAATCCATCAGGCAGCAATTGGAATTTTCAAATGGGGATATTCAGGATAATAATAGAACAAAGACATTAATCTCAAGTATTTATAATAGTAATTAATTGCAGCCAACAACGGGGATCTGAAATGAAATCGGCTAAAGAAATAAATACAAAATCACAAATCCTGTTAAACAAAATAGCACCACAAACACAAGTGATAGGAAATTGTCAGTATTCCAAAACAGATTCTGCCGAAAATGAAGTTATTGATAGGCCTACTTGTATAAAATTCAGATAACATTCTCAAGTTATTACACTCAAATTCATCTAAAATCAACGATCTATAAGCAAATAGCAATTAAATGATTCCAATTTTTTCCCGCAAATTATTAAAAAAAAAAAAAATCAGAGCCGGAAAAGTGAAATTTGGTTATTGTTCTATCAATTTCACAGAAGAAAAAACATATATAAATGTTAATGCATCTACGGATAAGTTATCAGCACCAAAATAAAAACATAATATGGATTAATAGAAGCATGCGTTGAAGCAAAGCATCACCTGCTTTCCCCGGAAGAGATTGTCATCTTTTGATACGCGCCACAGATTTTAGGTAGTGAGATGTTATAGTGGTTCTCTCCCGATAAACGGGGATTTATAGATCTCAAAAAGCCAAGTGCGGATCCGGGTCCGGGTCGGGTTCGGGGCAATGCAAGGGACGAGGAGGGAATCTTCCTTGGAATCAAGGTGGCACAAAATGAGAAATGCGTGAAGGACCTTCTCACTGGCTGACACATTTTTCTTCCACAAAACAATTTTATTCCTTTTGTTTGGTCCTGACGCGCTAGCGAGGTTTCCTCGGATTTGAACCTCTAATCTGTATCACCGTGGATTTCGCTATGAAACGTTGGCAATTGTCACCCTCTTTTTTTTTTTTTATTATTATTTTAAATAATGAAAGAATAGGCTATTTGTAAAGCATATAAAAAAGTCTCCTCACATTTGCATAGTCTCACGTGATGCGATCGTCGAATGGAAAACCATCAATAAGGGTGGAGCCAAATCTGTCCACACCGAAATTTTGGGCTCAACCCCACAGGCCTAATTTATTATTATCATTATTATTATTATTTTCAGTTTAATTCCTTTTCCTAGACCAGAGAAGCCCACTAGTCCAGTAACCCATTAGCCCAATCAACACCCCATGACTCATTTACTGATTTACAACCCATTCCCCTCAATTGAATCAATTGCTTCGACCTACTTTCGATTCATATTTCACCTCTTTGCCTCACGCCCTCTCCTCTCAGCTTGTCACTACGTCCTCTACTCTCTGACCGACAACCAACCTCTTCCCCAATCTGAGTCCTCCTATAATCTCCATTGCAGGCAAGTCAAGTGGTACTTTGTTTGTGAGTCTATGACAACGCGCTAGCTCCGATTGCTCCATTCCATTTCCATAGACCGTAGGTCCGTAACTACCTCTGTCACTCCTTAGCCTCCTTAACCTTCAAGCAATCGACGATTCTTCTGACATCCAGGCTCCAGCAATCGACGGCAAGTGCAAAAGAAAGTGAAGCACCAATTTCCAAATTCCACCGACCCTGATTTTGAAGATATTTTTTTTCCTTATTTTTTGTTATTTTAATTTGTGTATTATTATTATTTTTTTAACATATGAAATTAGCAACTTGTTCTTCAATTGCTCAAAGCCACATGTTGCTCTTCAATTGATTTTGGCATTTTGCTACCAGTCATCAAACAGTGAGAGTGAGATGAACTTCCAGTTCATTGTTGCCTCTTGAATTATGCGATTGCAAGTTGCTTACTCTCATACTCTGTCACTGGAATTTGGAAAACAGTATATATTGTTGCCTTGTGAAATTGTGAATTGCACTATGAATTGATTATATGAAATTGTGAATTGGACCATGAATTGATTATATGAAGTTGTGAATTAGACTGTGAATTGATTATGTGAAGTTATGAATTGCACTAGATTTTTTTGTAATATATATATATTTTTTTATCATCATCAAATCTATGACCAAAAGCTCGATGTTCGACGTCGAAAAATTTTGCCCGCACTGAACAAAAATCTTGGTTTCCCCCTGGCCACCACCTCATCGGGTGGCCCACCCTGATGCCACTTCGACACTTGATTTTTCTCTCTTTCCACCTCAAGTCTCGAGGTAGCCCACCTTATTAGGTGAGGGTGCGCCACCCGATGAGGTGGTGACCTCCCATTCGACAATTGCACAATGTAGGACAGTGTGATTGTCTCATCAAAAATTTTCTCCACATGAGGGGATCCAACATGTACAAGCATGGTGTACACATACCATTTCTGATGATGAAATATGTCAAATCATGCTCTTATGGTCAAAGTCAAGAATTAATTTTAACCACTCAATATATAAGATTCACAACTTTTCAATCACACATTTCATTAACCTTTATCAAAATCTGCTAAAAAATTAATTTTAATCTCCACCAAACTAAAGATTATTTGAATTAATTTTTTTTTTATTTTTGTGTCGAAAGTTTAATTTGGTTATAGAAAGACATGTGAAAATTATTATTTCAATATATTTTATCTTGTCAATGGGAGATGAAGGTAATATCCTTTAGTACTAAACTAGCTAATTAGTAAAAGGTCAAGGATAAAAATATTACAAAATAAAGGTTGGGGACCATTGCTATAATTTACTCCTAGGAGGAATGCAAAGTAATTCAAGAGAGTTGCCATTTGTACCCAAAAAGTGATGTCAAAATTAATACGTATAACACTTGATAGTTTTCTAATGGACAATAGCGAAATAGAAAAAAAAAATCCAGATCAAAAAGATGCTGCCACACCATTATCTGTATTAATTCTGGCAACAATTTTTCTGTAAAATGGGAATTGTTGATAATTCAATAATTAAATTAAGAATTGCACGTTTGGCAATTTTTATAATTTCTTATAAACTGATTAAAATTTAATTTTATTCACACGTTTCTTAAAAACTTAAATGTTACCTACTTTTTTAACCACGTTTCAAAGAACTTAATATTTATAAGTACTTAAAAAAAAATAACAAATAAGTACTGAGATAAGTAACAGAAAATTAGTTGGATGGTTTTTTTAGTCACATAAATATTTTATGAGATCAATTAGACATATAGCAATCCATTCCGTTGAGCTTAGAGAAATATTCTTAAAACGAACAAATTTTAAAAGAGAGAATGAAAAAAAAAATGATTTGAGAATTATTGAACTCTGTTGGACCTTTGTATTTTAAAATATTTAAAACAAAATGAACGTGGAATAATTTTCAACTAAAAGACAATTTTTAGTGGATGACTGCTATGAATGTCAAAAAAGATAGTTACGTGTGTTAGTTTATTATTATGACTCTTTAAATGTAAATATATGTAGTCAAATCATAAAATTAGATTTAAATAACTATTTAATAACTTTATAAAAGGAAATGAGTTTTCAATCATTGAGTAATTAAAGACTTTAGAGTTATATGTCAAAATGTCAATTTTTTTAGATGAATCTCCTAAGCTCTTTTATGCTAATTTGTATTTTCATCTTTATTAAATGTGAACTGTCGCTTAATATGTTTTGTTAGATGGTGTTCCCTTTGAACAGATCAATCTTGAAATTCGCATGCTCGTTGAAACTTAATGAATTTTGATACCATATTAAGATTTGAATTCCATCTAAAATGTCAATATATAACAAGAAGTGATGCAAAATCTTATATGTTAGTTTATATTTTTATATTTATTCTATATGAAGTATCTCTTAACATGAATTACAAGTTTCAACATGACACTTCTTAAATATATTGATAAGTTCGTTTTTGTGCACTTATTTAATGTGTAGAACCCCAAATAATTCGAGACACCTTAGTAGCACTAAGACATGAATATTGGATGACTAAAGTATACTTCAGATTTTTAGTCTCATTTGAGACCCATTTTCGACATAAGAAACATTCGATTTGAAAAATGATATCCAAATAAAAGTTGTAGCTCTTTGAGTTAGCTTTCCAACGCACTTTGAATTACCTCAATTGGATATCGGGAGAAGAAGTTATGATAGAAACACTGAAAGCTGTGCAGTGTCAACGGACTACAACCGGTCGACCGAAACTGACTGAAATGAAAATTTTCGTTTTTCTCTAGAATTTAAATATTTATTTTCATCAATTATTTCGTCAAAGGGCCACCCACGTTTTTGGCAATAAAAACCCCACTAAATTGAAGCATTTAACCTCAAATTTAAATGATACCCATGTTTTCTCTCTTAAATGAAATTTGACCATTCATCTGCCCTCGTGTACGGCATACCCCTTCATGTCAAATGGTGCCTCCGGGTACGGCATCTATGAAAAGTTATAAAGTTAATGTTTTGAAATGTATAGTTTGATCACGAATGCACCTATGTCACCTATTGAGTTTTTCAACTCACGGGTTTAATCCCATCTCTACAGATTGAAGGAATTCTACCTCGGGCATGAATGTAGGAGAAGATGGAGAGTGATGCAACGAGCCCATGAAAATCCGGTGAATAAGTGATTTGGATTTATTTTTATGAAATATTTTCCAATGTTATTTCTTTAAAGTTTTGAATAAGAATGCGAGAACAAGTTATATTTTTTTCAAATAAATTATATTTTGGTGTTTTGAAAAATGATTCAATGTTTTTGTTTAAAGTATTTGAAGTATTGTTATTTAAATTATTATCCGAAGATGTAAGCTTCCGCTAAAATGTATACACTTATTACTAAACTACCGGTTAAACTAAGTAAAGTAAGTAGCGTTTCGGTCCACTAGGGGTTGGGGCGTTACATAATGTACAAACATGACTAAACTACGAGCAATATATTTAAATTGTGACTTAAATTCGTTTAATTGTTGGATTGTAGGGTATAGTGATGGACTTGATGAAATTCACGAGAAAAAGAAGCAAAAGGACAAAAATGAATCAAAGTGATAGTTCAGGGTTCAAAGTGCAAATATCCAAAAGTTGAGCCAAAGGAGCAATCAAAAAATTTATAGTACCAAGTACCAATTGGAGGTCAATATGAGATGATGGAACAAAAGAGTCGAAGAAAAGAGGTTAAGAAACAAGAAGATTGAATTTGGGGACTAAAATGACACAAAAAGAAAATTTCAACCATGCGACTGCATGGAATATAACCATACGGCCGCACAGCCCCCATCCGAGATTAAAATCCATGAAATTGGTTCAACCATGCGACCGCATAGATTAACACTATGCGGCCGCATGGTGTAAAGTTATGTCCCGATTTTGCAGTTTTTTTTTTGCGTTATAATTCTTTTGGAACTCGATTGGGACGCGATATAAAAATCTAGAGCCGTCATATTTCGGGATAGAACGCATTGGGAGGCAAGAAACCACATATTGGAGAGGATTTTGAGCGCAAGTAACGAAGAATTGCACGAAGATTTTCAAGATTTATCAAGTATTCATAATCCGATGATGTTCTTTCTTTAAAATCTGATGTATTCTTATAATTTATCAATGCTAGGCTAGATTTTCATGTACTAGGAGATCGATGTACCATGTGATTTGATCTTTAATTTTCTAGTTTTACAATTTGACATTAAAAATACGTTTTGATTGTTTTGAATTATTTATATACAATTTTTGTTCCCGCAATTAAAGGCATGTAATTGTGTGAGTTTAGGTGGCTTATTCTTGCATTCGAGAGAATCGGAATAGGTTCGACATAATATAAATCATCGTAGGATCCGATAGAGGATAAAAATATACCGCATACCCTACGTGAATTTTTAAGTGTTCACAAGACCGCATTCATTTTTATATATACACTTGTCATA